AGGTGGAGAAGCCCTGTGAAATGGTGGTCAGCTCCTCGGTAATCATTGTTACCTTTTGTATGGTGGTGGTATTGGCAGTGCAACGGTTCTTCTGTATCTGGAGGACTTGTGAAACCCCGATCAACATGCCATTCTTCGTCTCAAGAAATTTTCCATCCAAAGGAATATTATTGACAAACTTCTGCAAAGGAGAAGGAAATGGCTGAGACAATAACCTTCAACTCCTTTTGCACAGATTACCTGTCAGACAAACAGCTGTAGGCAAACTGTAAGGGTGTATCCAGCCACCAGCTTTAGAAAGCGATAGGTCTAGCCAGATCCTCAAATGGCAGAACAGTCTTCCCACCTTACCTGGGTGCTGTTTTGATAAAACATTAGCCAGTAGGAGAGCCCTAACATGCTGTTCTTATGGATTCCACTTCTCAAGTCCATGGGCAAGAGCTTCTCTCCCAGTACAACGTGGTACTGCACTGTCTCGTTGTCCTAAATCCACAAAAAGCCCAAATGTTAGGACTCTTTTGACTTCCTAGACTATAATTCAGTCAGAGGTATGGCATGAGAAGAGTTCCTAAGCAATATGTAATAGCTAATTAAGCACACAGAGCCTAGTAACTTCCTATCACAGATGACTGATCACACCTGATGACTCTGCTACTGGATGAAGTCATAAATGTCTTTTGGAACCTTTTAAAAGGTTCAAAATTGCCAGAGATATGCCACAGCCAGTCAGAAAGGAGAACATGTCGTGCCATCTATCCACATTCAAATCTACTCAGAAATTTGCATTTGGAGTCCAAATATTCTTTTCAGATCCCATTGCAACACCCCAGGAAACCCTCTCGTTTATCTCTGCCACATTTCTCCTAGCTTTAGCATCAGATATGCTTCTCCTCTCCATGCTCAAACCCACTGAACTCAAGTTCTGACAGTGTACAAGTCCCTGCACGTACATACATATTCAAACTGTAAGCAGTGAGCTTACCAACTGTGTCACATTGGCAGCATGGCAGTACTCCTCAATGGAATTATTTCCAGGAACAAAAATTGTATATTTTTCAGAGGACTCGATTTTTCCCATGAGCTGGTATTGCTAAAAAATGTCCAAACAGTAACATTAGCGATTTTACTTGTACTCACTAAAGAACAAACCACACACAAAATCAATTACAAAGGTAAGAGCACTAGAGGAAATGCTTGGAAATGGGATATACAAGTTCTACTCAGTCACACATGTCTAACTGCTTGTTCCTCCTCCTGAGCTGACCTAAGTGCAGCTAAGCACAGATTATGAACTAGCCTTCCTTCTCCTCTAGGTTTCTCTGCCCTGTACAAGCATGACAGCACCTGCGGTACACAGGCCGTCTTCCACTGTAATAACATGCCCATGATCCAAAGATCTAACTGTAAATATATAAGTTTTTGGCTGCTCAAAAGAGCTTTCCTAGAAGATCCTTCCTGAACGGTAGGAAACAGGTGATGTCCTTTTTCTCACCAGGCAGTCCAAATTTTGGTCCACCAATACAGGATAAGGTGGGCATTTGCTCAAAAGACAGTTCTGACAACCACAACAGTGCTCACCTGTAGCAACTCCTTGAATGTGCTGAATGAGGCAACTGTCTCGAGCTGTTTTTGCAGACCTGGAGGACTTGGTGGAATATCTCCTGAAGGCGGCAACAAAACCTGCAGAAAAAGTGAGTTCATAAGCAAGGTTGGGCAAGGGGCTCTGGGGGAAATCACACTAGGCTCCTGCCCTGCTTGCAAGAAAGGCAATTAGAAATGGCCTCATTTTACACAGTTCTGCAATAGCCTTAACTCTTCTTCTGTCAGCCAAGAGAAGAGGAACTCCCCTCCTGCTTGTCCTGGACACAAATATTTTAAACATTAGACACTGCTGCACAGGAAACATCTGTCAGGACCTTGTGATAACCAGATATATTTTAGCCACTATATCCCTTCCTAACCGTCCAGACATGTATTCCTACTTGGCCCCATCATAGATGCTGCAACGCAAACCTGCTGTTACAACTGCAGCACTTCCCAGTATCGCATGTACCGACGTACCTTACTGAGGACGTGAATAATGCCGTTGCTGGCAGGGATGTCACTGACGACTATACTTGCGTTCTGGATGGTTAATACCTGCAAAAGTATCAGAGGGAGAAGCAAAAGGATTAGAAATTGCCAAGGAAGTTCAAAACAAATATATTGTTTGTTCAAGGCTGCACATTATTGATCTGGGTACAATTTTTGAAAGATGTCTGAGTTTGAGAGCATCAGTGTCCCATCCAGGCCCCCCATGGGATACAGCAGCTCTTGAGCAGCTGAATTTGATCCTGGTAGATGTGAGTTATGAAAGAAACCCTTACGCCGCTCCTGGTGTTTATCTGCCATCTGGTTTGTGGGTTGAGGGTGGGTAATTCTGGCCTGTCGTACTCTTTGAGCTTTTCACCAGTGAAGACGCCTTCAAGAAAGTGGGCCCTGAAGGGAACGAAGGCGGGTAAATAAAATATTAGAGCACTGTTCGTAATAACAGGGAGATAAGACTATACCACCCAACATTTGTGTCTCTCACATGAAGTTGTTAAGCGTGTGGAGAGAACGATGGAGGGAATTGAATTGAATGATGGAATGGTCCTGATGCCATCTGCATCTACATGACAGGGAAAATCTCTCCCTGCAGATACATGAAGAAGAAACCCACTTCCCATAGCCTGTGGTCTGTTATGTTTTAAATGCCTACTAACTTTTTTGCCTGCTAAATATTTAATCTTGCTTGTATATTTATCTCAAGATAACTCATTACAGATCTTGTATAAGCAGAAATCCAGCTCATGGCTTTGTTACTGTTGTTTGGCAATATAAAGCAAAGGCAGGAGTCTCCTTGTACCTGACTAAAAATGGCAGCATGTAGGGAGTCAACCAGAAATCTTTCTCAGTCTTGCTCAAGTTTTTGATAGCGGCCTCCGATGGCACCAGGACAGTGACATTGGTTCCTGCTGGGATGCTGAAGAGAGATTTCTGTTGTCCAAAGCACAAAAATGAACAAATAAGACATGCCAGTGCCACATCTATACTGCAAAATATAATTTACAGTGATCCCACATACACTCCAGCAGCACAGCAGGTTCTGCTGCGCATCACAGGTAAGTGCTATTGACAATCAAAGAATGCCACAGATGGTTTAACCAAAACAGGTGACACCCGTTTGCTGAGGGAAAAAGTGCTGCTTTAAGCCCTACTTACACAGTTCAATTAATCTTCAAACCCATTCGATCATATCCATAAATCCTTTCTGAACCCTCAACGCCAGTTTTGGGGAGGTACCACAATTATTCCTGGCAAAAGCAATGTATGCAGCAGGACAGGAAAGCTAAAGCTCAATTAGATGCTGTACATTGTAGCATGCTTCCACAGACTTGCTACAGTCTGCCTCTCCATTATTGTCACACCAGAGACAGGGAAGCAGCAACAAGAGAAAGAACAGACATACAGTCTCAAAGTATCTCAAAGCACGCTCTTCTGAAAAACACCTGTTATAATGCTACTCCTTTTTCTTTCCCTTCTGTGCTATTTTATGACAGCCAGGAGTTACAGATGATACACCATGAAAATTAAGTGTAACACAGCCCCAGCTTCCTCTGGTCTAATAAACAAGGCCCCCAAAACACAGTCACAACCCTCACCCTATCAGAGACTCCAGAGCTTTTCTACATGCCTGCTCTGTAACGATTTCTCCTTCACCGTTGTTCTGTTTTTCTCTAATGGAAAAGATAAACGGAGTTGCTCTTTCTCTAACAGCAGCGTTCACAGAGACTTCACTTCTACCGAACTTACCTGTGTGGGCATCCCATGGCTGTTCTTACCTGAAGCCAGTCGTAGAAGCCTGCAAAGTGTGCATTCCCGGCCAGCTCCTTCCAAACAGAAACAACAGGAGGGTTACTCCTGCTAAACACTGGGGTTGCGGGGCTGGGAGGCCCAGGGGTTGGAAAAGGAGCCCTTTGCAGTATCAAATTCACTGTTCCTCTCTCACCTTACAATCATTACAGGCACTGTGTATCATAGGGAGGGATGGGCACTCCTAAAACCACACTCCAGACATTAAAAAAAATATATTCCCAAATAAACAAACTCTTTTCAACTCATCTGCAATTGCTCATGTTTACCAGGGACAGAGATTGAATCCACAATGGCACCTGATATTTCTAATGACAGAAAATGGGCCTAGCAGCTCTGACCTGAAAAACTTTCCAAACAACGAAAAGATGACTTATTGCAGAGGACAAACAGAGGTGAAGCAGCTTAGACATGATTGCCACTGGTTATATGTCTGTGGCCTTGGGCAATCAGCCACACGTACTGTGCTGTCAGGCTACTGCTGGGAGAAGGGGTCAACTCAGGTAACAGAGAAAAGGAAAGTAAGAGCAGAGCCATTTCTCTGCAGTCTCAAGAAGACCACAGACATTTACTTTTACTCACTTTTAGAATGTCCCCATAGCATGTCATGCCATCACCCATATAGCCTTGAGGGCAAGCGCAGGATCTCTCTCCTCCTCCAAGGGGTACACAAATAGCCTGCAAATGCAAGGAAAGGAGAAATTAGAGAACAAACACGGGTTATGCAGTGCTACACCTATCTAGGAATTGAATTCTGGCCTCCCATGGCCTGGGCTAGAGGAGCACACAAAAGCACCTTCCTCCTGTTGCCTTTATGGTGGCACTGGAGTTATACCTCATGCAGCAAAGCCTAGATGATGGATTTGGTTGTGTGAACTCACAAAAATCAGAGTATCCACCTGGGTAAATCAGAGACCAAAGCTTTATAACGCCTCAGTGGCATTCCAATAAGATGATGCAATGTAAATCCTTGCGATTATCTTAATGCCATGGCTGCAAAACCTCTGTCGGGGAGCAGAGGAACCTCCACTGCCATGCCAGCCTTGGGACAGCACTTTAGCTACTCACCAAGTCATGGCAGCCACCGTTGTCCATGAGGCATGGGTTGATTGCATCACAGTTGTAGCCATCACCAGCATAACCCCGCTTGCAGACACACTTGCTCTGCCAGAAAGAGACATTTCAGTTGTCTAGACCTATCAGAGTGTCCTCATTTGCTACCCAAAAAAGGCCTAATGCAGCAAAACTTATTCTTCATTTATTTTCCCAAGTTTTCTTCCTGGTCCCTCAAGACCTGGAAATGTGGAAATATTTCCTTAGCAGGGCATCATTCTCTATCGCAGAACACACGTTGCCTGCCTTACTCAAGCACACTGATCCCTTGCACTGTTTGGCTGTGGGAGGGTCACTTGAAGATGATGGTTTCCATCTTTATTTCCAGCTTTTCTGGGAATGTCACTGACTTAGTGAATGGGAGAAACAGAAGAGGGGTTAATTTCAAAGCTTCTGCTTTCAAGATAGCTAGGAGAGCACTTGCACATCTCCCCTCACTAAAATCTGCTAAAGATTTGGCACTTTTTCTCAGCACATTGTCCAACGCTCCCCTGGCTCAGTGGGGAGAAGCACCTTGAGAAGCAGCACCCTGAGACGCCACCTCTCCTGTGTGCCTTCCTTCTATCTCAAGATGCCCAACTGCTGGCCCAGCTCCCTCCACGGACTATCTGAACAGCTGCACACGCTTTTTTGTATATTTTAGCATTACCCAGAGAAAATGCTATGACTTGGGAACAAGGGGGACACAGCAACCGAGCTGTATTATGAAGTGTAGTCTCTTCCCTTTGCTGCATAGAAGTTTCAGAGTAGAGCAGCAGCCTCAAACACGTCAGCGCACCTCACCTCATGCAAGCACACTGTGGTTTTAGCTGCAGCCGGTGTTTCTGGCAGCAGAGAAGCAGGCTTTGCTGATGACCAGCCCAATTTCTACCTCTGGCAATCCCATGCCATCTCAGAGCAGCTTAGGAAATGTTAAGTCCACCATCAGACTGCTTAGCGTTGATCATACCTGGCCAGGGCCGATATAAACGCAGTCGGCATTGATGTGACAGTTCCCTCTGCTCTCCAGCATGCAGTTGTCTATAGCCACGCAGGCCTTCCCGTCCCCGGTCCAGCCCGTGTTGCACTGGCAGGTGGCGGTGCCCGGGCCTGTACTGGTGCACAGAGCCTTCAGGAGAAGGGAAAGAAAGAGAATTACACTCAGCAGAAGAAGGGAGTGCAGTGCAAATGCAGCAACAAATCTCCTCCGTCAGACCGTGGAGAGTTTCTGAATGACCAACTCTGATTCCAGCACTGGGGGTGGGGGGTGGAAGCATCTTCTCCAGGAAAGTCCTAGACAACTTCATAATAAAACGATTTTGGAAACATTTAGTATTTTCAGAGGCAGACACTTGTGTCTAGGGTGGCTCAGAACTCCCAGGGTGTTCTCTACTATTCTGTAAAGCTTTTCCAATTACAGAAGAAATATTCCCTGAAGAGGAGGAGCACAACTTCCTGTCTGGACACGTGGGATGGAATCAATGACGGAGGGCAGATTTCTCTCAAAAGACCTACTTTGTACCCAGTGCCATCCTATTTCCTTCCACATGGCCCAATGTGTTCCTCTCACTGAGGGGTCTAAATTATGATGAGGTCTGACCATTTGGCAGTCATTTCCATAATAAAGCACCACAGTTGTTTATTAAGGATAATTAATAATGGAGTGTTGATGGTTACTAGAAATATGAGTTGGAGCTCACAGCAACAGAGAAACCAGCCAAATTCTCTTTGGTGTGTTGCATTTTGGAATCAACCCGAACAACTGACTTCCTTATGATGACTGTGTCAAGGTACCTGTTATTCCACTCCATCTTACAGACGGGGAAAGTTAGTGCCCAAAATGTGTAACAGTCCCAGGAGTCCTGGATCCCTGCTCTGACTTACAGAAGCTGCTTCTCCACTCTTCGACAGTCTGACCCCACTTACATTCTCTGAACAGCCTCCTCGTTCAGGCTGACTGCACAGGTCGATGGGCTGGCAGGAAAACCCGTCACCTTCGTATCCATCCATGCAGATGCACCTTAAAAGTATAAGCACAAAAGGCACACAGATAGAGCAGCTCTTTCTGAAAGCCAGCAGAGAGCAAAAAAGCTTTTTGAGCCTCTCAAGCAAGCACGAACCTGACTTTGATTTCTAGCAGGTAGGCTGCATCACTCAAACAATCCTGTGCACCAAGTATGCAGACATATATTACAGGGCTGGCACCCTCACAGCCGCTGTGTGCCTGTACAATGACACTGTGCCCACATGAATATGTATGCCAGAAAGACTGACCTTGCTGTGTCATTGAGGCTGCAGACAGCGTTCTGGTGGCAGTACTGGGAGACCCCCCCTGGGCCACAGTTCTTGGATGTCTTGTCACAGAACTTCCCGCTATAGCCTTCCTTACAGGACCAGGACTGACACACACCACCGCTGCCAGGCCTGTTGTCACAGACACCATGCACACAGCCACAATCTGCCAAGGACATGGAGCAAGATCAGTAGTTATAAAAACTCCGGAATCCACCACAGTGACAGCATTTTGTAGATCCCCAACTTTCCTTCACAACCTCTTGTAACACCAAATGATCATCCCATTTGTTCTTGACAGAGGGATGTCTGCTGAGAGACATCCATCATAACTCAAAACCTGGCCAGGGAATAGATCTTGTGATTGCCTGGGTCCGTGTTTTTTATAGGCTGTAAGGACAGGCTCTAATTTAGGCTATCAGGCTCAATGTCCTTGTCAACTGCCTTTTCTTTCCTAGCAGGAGAGATCTGAATCAAAGTCCCACACCTAAATTTGGCTGATGTTTCCAAGACCCCCATCACCAATATAACATCAGCCATGTTTTCTCCACTGTTGTTTGAAGGGACACCCATGATGACAATTCCATCACTTCTTTCGTGACGCTGGTCTTGCCAGAAGGGAATCCAGGATACAGGAACACACACCATACTCTTGCCCAGCATTTTCCTCTGGTCCCTCTATCCGAATTACCAACCTTCGTCACAGTTCTCGCCATGCTTGTTTGGGTTTGAACATATGTGGCAGGCTATTCCTTTGAAACCTTCAAAGCAGTGACAGTTGCCATTCCCTTGTATGCCATCGCTGCACTGGAAGGAAAACAAAAAGAAAACCAAAGTGATTGAAACTCAGGGAACCAAGGCAAAGCCAAAGCGTTGATATCTGTCAAAGGCACTTTGATACTTGCAGTAAAAAAAACAGGACTTTGAAGAGTGGGGTAGTAATACAAAATCCCACATAGCCAGAGTTGCCCCCCAGGACATGATTCATATTAGTGCTCAAGATAGAAAACCTGCTGAATACATGTCATTCTCCCTGGATCTTCTGCTGCCACCACTGTGGGCTTAGCCCTGGAGCACAAATTCTGAATTGTACTTATCTACAGTTCCACTCTCTAACCACAGTCTCAACTGCTCATTGCAACACAGCAGGATCTTTCATACGTACATTTCCCCGGCCATAGCATGGACTGGAAAATCCCCCGGGGCACGGCATGCAGTCTGGACCAAAGAATCCTTTGCAGCATCCAGGTTTCTGAAACAAAAGCAAAATCCGTAAGGTATGACGTGACATCAAGAATTGCCTGGAGTCATCCTGCCCTCGTAATTCTGAAATCCTGGTCCTCCTCTCTGCCATGGACTGAAACGGACTGTCCCATCTGGCATCTGTGTTTCTAAGAGGTTCTGCACTTAAATTTTTTTTTTTTCAACAATAGCCCTCTTTCTGCTCATAGCTTATTCTTCTCAGAATAAATTACTATTTTCTGCTCTTTCTCTGACTTCAACAAATAGGGTCCATGTTTTCTATGAGCTTTTGTTTCTTTAATAGTGCTGGCCCACCCACTCCTACTTTATCCTTGCTGAGGACTATGTTCCTTTGGATCGCAGGCCTTGTGATGAATGACCAATGGAAGAACAATAACAAGACAAACAATCAGCAGTATTTAATGAGACAGTCACAAATCATTCCATATAGTTGGCACTGTGAGAACTCAGGAGCTGCAGACAAACATGAGGTGCATAAGCTCGCTAAGAGCGACTTTCATGAACCATCTGACAATGTTTCATAAACAGGATGCAGTCACTTCACAGCTTACAGCACTTTCCCTGTGCTCTGCTTCCGTTGGGAGAAATGCTAAAACCAGGGCAACCCTCAGAGAAAACGTGCCACAGCTATCACTGCACCATTTGTCTCGTGGCTTCCTCCAGCTTGGCTGGTCACAACTAGTGTGCATTATTTTATTTATTTATTGTATTCAGGTTTAACCGAGCTGCTTTTGCAGCAGGCTGGTACCCTGTGTTCTGTCTCTGCCAAAGAGAAAGCGGGTAGCCAGTTCATGTGTTGGTCCTGGGGACAGCCCTTTGCATGGGACAGCTTTTTTTTTGCTCTTATCCAGCCCTCTCTCAGCTCAAGGAGTCGAGGAAGAGCAACACTGAGCTCCTTTCAGAGGGAATGTGGTCTTCCATCACACTCACCATCACAGTTTGATTGCAGTACCTGGCGCACCCCTTCTTCAGGATGTTCAGGCCTTGTGGATCATGGGTGTAGACACATTCTTTTGGGAAGAGTGTTGGTTCCTGTACAAACAAAACAAGTCATCAGCACTGTAACCTTCCCCTCCGCTCTTTTTGCTGTGGGGAGCAACTATGCCTATCTCTGAGCTGAGGAAGTTCACAGAGGAGCCAAGGTGAACAAGATACCATTATGGCATGCCTACCATGAAAGAAGGCACACGGCGGCTTCCCCTCGCTCCCAGCAGTCCCCAAGTCTGAGCCAAGGTGCCCCCCTTTTGTTCTAATAATAGTGTCTATGATAAGGG